ATTAATTTGATGTAAGAATGCATTATTAACATCGCTTAAAAAGATATTAATTTTAAAATGCATGAAAACTTATCTAATTAAAAACCCCTAATCATCCAAAATAAGAAATAATGACCCAAACTCTGTCATCTTTAAGAGCTCCATGGATAGCACGGTCATTACAAAGTGTCGAAAAATCACGCCCAATAGAAGGATAAGACTTTAAGAGTCAGCATCTCTCATAAAATATTAATCCAACATGAGGCCATAATTACTGCTACATTTCTTCATGAACTTTATTTTTCCTGCAAGTCTCATGTTTGGTTAGAGTTAAATTTTATTGAAAATATAGTTAGAAAAATATTGCATAAAAAGTTGATAAGTTTTATAATAAAGTTTTTTTAACATTTGTTATATTATTAAAATTTTTTGTGTTTTGTAAGTAATTAACATAAAAAAGATTAATAAGAAAATTATTAAGTGGATCTCATGTATAGAAAGTTAGGGAAAAAAAATTTTTCTTAAAAAAGAGGATAAAAATGATATTTTTAACTCTTTATTTCACTTGACACAATTCTCAATCAATACACTTTTATTTCCTTAACTTTTTATATATGAGATTCACTTTATAATATTTTTACTAACTTTTATTTCCTTAATTTAAATTTTTTATGTTAGTTTCTTACTAAAAATAAAAAAATTAACAATTTAAAATACTTAAATAACCATATAAAAGAAAAAGTTAAGAGAGAAACTTCCATCACCAACCAAAAACACATTAGGAATTGTTCGTATTGTGAGTTTCCTTTCAGCTTTAATCCAAAGGTTCTGATAACGTGTGCCTCTTTTACGAGCATAGATTATGGTGTAACACACATAATTTACAATTAATTTATATAAAATATAATATTAATTTTAATATAATTAATTCGTCAATCAAAATCATTCATATAGCAATGGTTTTAAAATTACAAAGGTCAACACTTTGCACTTTTTGATATAAATAAATTACAAAAAAATTGAATCCTTAATACGTGCAAATTAGATCAACCTTTAAGATTCTTCCATCCACTCGCAGGTTTTTTTACCCCTTATCTACCTTCAACACCCACCCCACGCGTTGCCCTCTTCCTAGCATTCCAATTAGGGATGTTAGCGGTGTGGTTTAATTTAGATTTTATTATTTTTTAAACTAATTTAATTTAATCGATTAATAAAATTTTTAAATTAATTCAATCCATTATTATGTGATAACCAAATCAATTCAATTTAAATCAGATCGATGTGGTTCAATCGGATTGATCAGTTTTTAAAATTATTAAATATATAAAATAATGTTAAAATATTTTAACATCAAATAGAAAGTATAACTATAAAATATATTAACATCCAAATCAATAAAAACATAATTATAGAAGCATCAAAAACAATAAAAAATAACTTCAAATTTTTAGTACAACATAAATAATTTTCGAAGATTAAAATTATTTTATTTTTCCTAATGCACTAATAATTTAATTCCATTTTTTAAATCCTGTTAAAAGTAAATAACATTTAACATGAATATTACTAAAATTGACTAGAAGTATTTATAATCAAAATTTAAAACTTCTAAACCAAATATCCAAAAATAGTAGAATATTAGGACTAATTTTATTATATAATTTTAAGGCTTTTAGAATGATACTTATTTAAAATTTAGTTAGGAGAATCATAAGATTATTTTAAGAATAAATTAGAAATTTAGGGTTCTAAGAGTAAAGGCACAAACCAGTTCTGAAATAATAGAGTTGCAGGTGAATTAGAAATTTAGAATTAAGATTAGAATGCATTATTAAAATGGAAAAATAACTTAGGGAATATGAAGATGTTCTATTTTTATTTTTTTAATTAAGTTAATGGAGTTATAATCTTGTAAAGTAAGAAAAAGAAAATTTAAAATACTACAAAAAATATGTTATATTATTTAATTATATTATTTTCTAATCAGATTTTATTTTGTAATCAGATAGTTCGGACGGTTTAAAAGTAAAAACACGAACCAAACCAATTATATCAATTTTAAAATTTTAAAATTCAAACAAATCCAATTTTATATCGATTTGGATCGGTTTTTTATTGGATTGGATCAGATATGAATCAGATATGAACACCCTTGATTCCAGTCATATTAATTGGAGAGTTGTGCTTGACAAAATACCAACAAAAAAAAACTTGTTGACAAGAGGAATTGACAGTGTTATGGATGATGTGAAGTGCAGGTTCTGCGAGGAGGAAGATGAAGACTCTGCCCACCTGTTTTTGAGATGTAAAGTAGCGAAATGGATATGGAAGGAGTGTGCTAAATGGTGGGGGATTTCTATAAGGATGGAGACGACTGTTGGAAAACTTTCGATCGCCTTGAGGCATGGACCAATGATAATCGGCTCAAAAATGGATGGGATTGCATCTAGAGTGCAGTGATCTGGTCAATTTGGCTTTTGCAGAATAGAAAGATATTCCAAGGCCAAGAAACAAACATGGGTAAGCTGTTGGAATTAATTCAATTAAGATATTTTTTTTGGATTAAATCAAGTAGAGCTGGTTGTCACTTTTATCTTTCAGATTGGTTGTGTAATCCTATAGCTTGTCTTACGGATGGTTAAGAGTAAGCCTAGGAAAAGAATAGTTTGAAAGATAGGAGTAACAAATGTAGCCTATTTCTTCTCTGTTCTTGTGTAAGTAATTAGTTGGAGTACTACTTGTACTTCCACACTAATCTTAATAAATTACCTTTGCTTCGCAAAAAAAAAATAATAATAATAATAAATATGGTAGGAATACTCTTCTTTAACACACTTTCTAATTAATTCACTTGACTGGGTAAAATTAAATTTGTTTTTAATTAAAATTCTCTTTTATAAATTTAAATATTTACTAAAAATTAAATCAAAATTTTAAAATAACTTATACATAAATTTGAGAAAAATTACGCATCATAACTTTTTAAAAACCCTTTAAAAAAAATAATCGACAAGCAATTTTGTTGAACTTGAAAGCTTTTGTACACTTAACACCTGGGCATACCCAAGGGGAAAACTCTTACATCAAAACTTCAATCTCATAAAATTCAAAATATCTCACATATCAAAGAAGCAGATCTCCTTTTCCTTTGAAACAGTTTGTAATTTCTCTCCTGCCAAATAAAATAAATACTGGCAGCAAGTGTAGCTCATACCTTCCTCTTACTCTCCCTTCTCCTTTGCAAGCTCGTCTAATCCATCCCCATTCCTCAGTCCAAGCATAATGGGTACGACATATCCTATTGGATCTTAGCACCTTACTCCTGATGCTTTCGTGATAGGTCACAATCAAAAAAGAGATGCTCACATGTTTCATAATTTGTCTTCCAAAACCAGAATCGAGTAGTAATTTTTAAGCCTTTCTAAGCTAGAAGGGACTTAGTCTCGTTAAGGAAAGAATCGTCTCATGAGCAATCTTTGATCTCCATTCAATTATTTCTATACTATTGTAAATATTATTCATATCTTTTATTTCCGTTTGTAGTAAGGTTGCTAGGACGCAAGGCATTTGCTCCCTGTATATATTTGTACAGCACATAGCTTGATAAATATATATGAAAACTATTTCAGCAATATTCTCCATTGTCTATGTTTTAAGTACTAATAAGTCTTTAATCTACCTCTTACCAAAAGCCATAGTAAGATGCTATGTCTCGGCAAGATACAACTTGACAACACTAAACCATGCTAGTCTACTTTTCCTCCTCTTTCTCATATTATCATAGCAACTAGAGATGGAAAATGTTCCACTAAATGTAATGCGTATGGATGGGCAGGAGTACACAGTTTAAAAAAAAAAAAAGTTCCATTATTGGTTGATTTCCACACTACAACATCAGCTAATTGACACAATCTTTGCTAAGAAATAATTTGAGCAATTTGAGGATGTCTTTGCACAAAACTATATGGTATGCTCCATTTCTTTTTGTTCCCCTAGTCATAAACCTTCAGATCCTGCCCCTAAAAAGAAATCTCTGAGTTTGGGAGAATATCACTAAGCCTTGAATCACTTACCCACCAATCATAGAACAAAGAAGTTTGTCTTCCATCTTTTACCTGTAACCAACTAAGCATTTCACTATTAGCCTAAGTTTTAAAATCTGTCTCCACATCAAAGCACAATCAATTAGGATCTCTTTTTTTTTTTAAGCTTGATTTAGCCATCGAACCCAAATATTATCCTAGTTTTTGCACATAATCCATACTAGCTTACTCGAGGCAACTTTATTTCATGCTTCCAGTTGCTTAATTCCGAGCCCATCCTCACATTAGGGGATACATATATCATACTAGGTCGCTAAAGCCATGACACTTAGATTCCACTTTCCACTCCAAATAAAGTTCCTGCATGTTGAGTCAATATTTCTAAGAACTTTCATTGGTTGTAAAAGAGCTCCACTCTAGTACATTTGTAGGTGGAACAACACTGATTTCACAAGTTGGATTCTCCCTGCATAAGACAAAAACTTTATGGCCCAAGAGTTGATTCTTTACTACATTTTCTCAACCACAAGCTGGCAAGTAATAGGAGACAGTTATTGTTACCAAAAAGAGGCCTAAATATTTAACTGGGAGCTACCCCTCAGAAAATCCTATTTTGGGGAGAACATAATGCTCAGTAGCTTCACTTAGCCCTCCAAAAGGAATTCATTAAACTTGTCCATCATCAATGCTGGAGACATTGCATCAATTTTACAAAAAAACATGATATTAAGAGCAAAAATTAAATGAGTTCGCTTCATAGCTTTGCATTTGGTATGGAACTTAAACTGTTTATCTATTCCAACCTCCTATAATTTCCTTGTTAGATATTCCACGACTAGAACAAAAGGATAAGGTGATATTGGATCACCTTGTCTTAATGCCCCCATTCCTTAGAAAATATCCTTTGGGCTAGCCATTAATAATGATGGAAAATATGGCTATAAATAAGCGCAATAAAATCCAATGGACAATTTTAGGAGAGAAGTTCAAACCATACAACAAAGCCTCTAGGAATTCCCGATCAACAAAATGGTAGACCTTTCTTAAATCAATTTTCATTGAGCACCTAGTAGTGCCATCCTTCCTATGGTAGTTTATGAAAATGTTAGACAACATTGATAACCACCCTCCCCTTCTCACGAAACCTTTCCACACCGTAGTGATTATAAGCTTTGAACATGAGAACTCTAACTTTAAGAGTTTTACGTTCTTATTAGTTAAGATATCGTTGAGGAAAAAGCAAGAGAAGGGGGCGAGATGAGAGGAAGAGAGAGAGAATGTCATAGTCAGTGTGGCAAGATCACAAGGAAGATGATTTGCACAAAGTAGAGGACGATCAACCAATTGAGGCGGGACGCATAGATTCCAACCAGATAGGAGAATTGATAGAGGAGTATGCAATCAGGCGGTGCCATTTTTCTTCACAAACTTTCCGGAGGATTGGAGTCATGACAGATTTGGAGAACATTATGCAAATTTGGGAGATTAATAAAGATCTTCATACCAGAGAGAAGGGACAAGTATGGAAGGTGTTTTGGTTTCATGAGGTGTTCAGAGGTGAAGAATGTGAAATCTTTAGAGAATGAGCTTGACGAGATAACAATAGATGGTGTGAAGCTTCATGTTAATCTACTAAGGTTCGAGAGAATCTCTGCAGGTGAATACACTGGGATGGGGAGAGGCTTTGGACATACCACCAATAAGGTGCATGAAAGGAACATAAGAACAGTTGGTACAAATGGAGGAAGACCCAGAACTTATGCGAAGGCATTACAAAGAAATTCAGAGGGAGATCAAGATATGGGGAGGGGAAACGTTAGAAATCAAGAAAATCAGGCTAGAATGAAGAAAATGGTGTGGAAAAGAAAGGATCTAGATAATGAGTGGAAAGGTTGGGAGTTCAATGTGGAGGAACAAGAGTTCTCATGGCTAGAAGGATGCTATGTTGGGACAGCATGAGCAGTTGAAATCATTCCAACTTTATAGGAAAAATTCTTCATGAAATGGTATTTTGCAATGTCACTGAAGCCAATGGGAAGCAGACTAGTGTTGATGCAATGTGCTGAGAAAGAAAGAACTGCAATTTCTTGTAGAAAATGCTAGTGATTGGCTAAAGCAATGGTTCGATGAGATTAGGCCATGGTTTCCAGAAATGGTGGTGGATGAACGCTTTACTTGGATAAGGTGTCATGGTATACCATTACATGCTTGAGGCCCAAATTTCTTTCATGACCTGAGTAAGATGTGGGGGAAGTTTATCTCCTTATCTGACAGCATGAGCAACAAGAAGAGATTTGATGTAGCTAGAGTCCTAATATCCACTGCTTGTACAGAGGTGATCTCAAAGGTGTTCATGGTAAAAATAAATGAGACTTTTTCAACATCAAATGTGTAGAGGAGGAGGCAACAAACAACCTATACTCAATGAAATCTGACTTCAAGATCCATGAAGAAAGCAATAGTGAGAAGGAAATAGAATCATGGTCGTTGGGGGACATAGAGGAAATTGAATCGGTGTAAGGGGCTTTCAACCGAAGTGCAGAAATTTCAGTTAATGGGGAAGAAAGAGATGATGACATGGCCAAGTTGGAAGATGTGACCGAGAGAAATGATGTGGAGTATGGTAAAGGGTTGGAAGGAGAAGGGTCATGCACCGATAACATAAATGAAGAAAACAGGGACAGTGGTAACAAGGCATTTATTAATTCAGATGGCATTAAGAAAAATACCATTTCCAAAGATAAAGCAAGTAGCAAAGTAGAAGTATCATCAAAAAAAGTATCAGACAGCTTGGTGGCTAAACAAGATACGAATGCTTTGAAAGGTGAAGAAGCACAACTAAAGCTAGAAGATGTATAACTAAAGGGGTTAGAGTGGGTGAGAATATGGATATGGTGGTCTCTAGGCCCAATAATATAGAGGACATGTTTATGGCCCAAGAAATTGATGAACAAGACAAAAGGCCTATGACACGCAATGGGCTAAATATGAGACAAGGGCCTTATGATAAAAAACAAAATGGTGCTAGAAAAGAAAAGATGATTCCAAAAGAAAGGGAGGCAAATGAATTAGACTCATTCTGGAAAGGGATAGAGAGCGACTCAGGGCCATTGTGAGAATGGATGGATAGGCACGAAAGAAGGAAATCTAAGAAGAAGATAAGGAAGGCAAAATCATATGTTGCAGTATACAAGGAAGCAAAAGTTATACAGCTTGAAGCCAATAAGAGGAAGAAAGGTAGATCAAAGGAAAGGGAAGAAGAGGTTTCAGAGCTTCCGCAATTCTTGCCAAACTCAGAGAACAAAGTTACTGGTGATTCCTTAAATGATAGTAACATAAACAATTGCAATACAAGCATTTTGGCAAGAAAGAGTGGCTTTGGAACAAAGGAAATTTGGGAATTTGCAAAGTTTATTGGGGCAGTAGCGTTGAGGAACGAGGAAGAGGTTTTGATGAAACTGCAACAAATGGAACAAAGGGATCAACAACATGGTGAAACTATAGTTTCAAAAAGCAAGAAGAAAGTTATTGCAAGGGAAGGTATGACTCCATGATTATTATGTCATATAACATTAGGCGACTAGGGGGAGGGGAGAAAAGAAGGGAAATTAGGACATTGGTAGGAAAATAGAAAGTAGAATTTTTTATGATATAGGAAATAAAAATTGTAGCTATTGATAGAAAGCTATATTGAGAGATTTGGGGATCTGACAATTTTGATTGGGTGGCAAAAGATGTGGCAAGAAGGTTAGGGGGGTTGCTATGCATATGGAAGAGTAACGTTTTCAAGATGGAAAAGGTGATAGAAGGAGTAGGTTTTTTGGGAGTCTTTGGTTTTGGGGGAGTGGAAGAGGTGCCGTGTTACATTGTGAATGTCTACTCTTCATGCCAAGGTATTGAGAAGAGACAACTACGGGAGGAGCTAAGAGTATTAATTGGCAATAGTGGCAGTAATTGGCGCATTGGAGGAGATTTCAATGTGACTAGATCAAAATTAGAAAGGAAAGGTTGTGAGGGAGTACAAAAGGAGATGAAAGGCTTTGAGGATTTCATTACAAACTCAAGGCTGATCGACTTGCCGTTGATAAGTAGAAAATTCACATGGGTGCAACCGAATGGAACTACAATGACCAGGCTTGATAGATTTTTGCTGACAGAGGAATGGTTACTCAATTGGGAAGGAATGAAGCAATGGGGCTTGGCAAGGAGAGTATCAGACCATTATCCTTTGCTATTGAAGAATGAAGTCAAAGATTGGGGTCCAAAGCCCTTTTGCTTTTTCAACACATGGTTACAGCATCCAAATTTCAAGGAATGGGCTAGCAAAGAATGGAAGACGATGAATATAAAAGGGTGGAGTGGTTTTGTACTAAAAGAAAAATTGAAAGGAATGAAGGCATCTTTGAAAAAATGGAGCAAAGAACATTACATTGAATTGGACAAGAAAATTGAGGAATGCAAGGAGCAAATTGATAGATTAGACAAAAAGGGGGAGATAGAAGAGTTAAATATAGATGAGATTGAGCTTAAAAGGAAGTGGACAGTAAATTTATGGAAGAAATTATAAGCAAAGGACAGCATGTTGAGGCAGAAATCAAGGAAGCAATGGGTCAAGGAAGGGGATGCAAATACTCATTTTTTTCACCAATGTATCAAGAATAGATGGCGACAAAATGAGATAAACTGCTTAGAGATAGAAGGTAAGTAATTATCAGAAGTTTTACAACTCAAGAATGGGGTGGTAAACCATTTTAAAAGTCTATTTAAAAAGGAGGGATGGCGGATACCAAAGTTAGATGGAGTGGTGTTCAACAAAATTTATCAAGCAGAAAATGAGATGTTAATAGCTCAATTCACAGAAGAAGAAATAACGCAAGCAGTATGGGACTGTGACAGTATGAAGGCACTTGGACCGGATGGTTTTAGTTTTGGTTTCATCAAAGAAATGTGGGAGTCCATGAGGCATGAAGTTAGTGCTTTTGTGAATGAATTTCATAGAAATGGACAACTTGTTAAAGGGTCAAATTCTTCTTTTGTGGTCTTAATCCCAAAAAAGGAGAATCCAATTAAAATTGAAGATTACAGACCTATATCTTTGACTGGTTGTATCTATAAAATCATAGCAAAGTTGTTGGCCAACAGATTGATTAAGGTGATGAAGGGAATTATTAATAATAATCAGTTGGCATTTGTGAAAGGAAGACAACTGATAGACAGTGTGATAGTTGCAAATGAAACAATAGATGAAGCAAAGAAGAAAAAAAGGATTTTCATTTTCAAGGCTAATTTTGAGAAGGCGTATGATAATGTTTGTTGGGATTTTTAGACTTTATGCTATCCAGCATGGGGTTTGGAGATAAATGGAGACAATAGATAAAAGAATGCCTCGCCTCAAGTTCAGTGTCAGTCTTATTGAATGGCAGTGCAACAAAGGAGTTCAAAATAAGCAAAGGACTTAGACAAGGAGACCCACTCTCCCATTTTCTCTTTTTAATTATTGTAGAAGGGTTAAATGGGATTATTAACTATGCAGTGAAACATAACCTATTCAAAGGTGTAACAATGGGGAAAGGAAGCTTGATGATCACACATTTGCAATTTGCAGATGATACAATATTTTTCAGAGAGGCAACAGAGGAAAATATGAAAGTAGTAAAAGGCATTATGAGGACTTTCGAGTTGGCGTCAGGTCTGAAAATTAACTACAATAAAAGCCAGCTTATTGGTGTAAATGTTAAGGAGGAGGTGAATAGAATGTCTTACTTTTTGAATTGCAATATTGGTGAGCTTCAGATGAAATATCTGGGAATGATGATTGGTATGAGTACCTATAGAGTAAAGATGTGGAAGGGGCTGATTGATAAATTCAAGAAAAAATTATCTGGTTGGTATAACAAATATCTATCTTTGGGAGGAAGAATTGTCCTAATTAACTCTATGCTTAGCAGTCTTCTTGTGTTTCTCATGTCCACTTAGTTCCAAAAGGTGTGATTAAAGCTATTGATACTATACGTAGGGGCTTCTTGTGGGGAGGGAGGGAAGAGGGAAAGAAAATTGCCTGGGTTGGGTGGGATAAAGTGTGCAAAAGAAAAGAGGATAGGGGTTTAGGCATAAAAGATTTGAGGTTGTTTAATTTAGCTTTTTTAGGAAAGTGGTGCAGAAGATTAGTGATGGGAGTAAGGGCTTATGGAAGAATAGGCTGTTGAAGGAAAGATATGGGAAGAATGGGACAAATTGGCATGATTGGATGGGGGAGGGTAAAAATATAAGGTCAAATTGGTGGAAAGACATATGTAGTATAAACTGGGGGTGTGTGAACAAAGAGGGGTGGTTGGAATCGGGATTTAGTGTAGAAGTAAGAGAAGGAAACAAAGTGTCATTTTGGAGGGATGTCTGGGTGGGAAATGGGTGTTTAAAAGAGAAATTCTCGAGATTATATCTTCTTTCTATAGGTAAAGGATGCACAATCAATGAAATGGGCCATTGGGAGGGTGATGCCTGGAGATGGTGCTTAAATTGGAGAAAACGTTTGCTGGTTAGGGAGGCAGAACAGGTGACGAAGCTCATGGAAATTATACAGGGAATACAACGAAGAAAAGGAGTGAAGGACAGCTGGCGATGGGCACATAACAAAGGGGGCAAGTACAACGTGAAATTTGCCTATGCTTTGTTAGCAAGGGACGAGGCCTTGGAAGGCAAAAAACTATTAAACTGCTAGAATCCTACAATTCCTAGCAAGGTATGTGCATTCACTTAGTTGGTCCTCTAACACAGAATCCCTTGAAAAATAAACCTGATAAAAAAGAACATGATTAAGAATGGAGAAGAAGACAAATGTGAGCTTTGCAGAAAATATAGTGAGGACACTAATCATCTTATGCTAGAATGCAACTTTGCCTATTCTTTATGGATGAAATGTGCCAAATGGTGGGGAGTATCTCATGTAATGCATCAAGACTGTAAAGTAGCTTGTACAGCACAGTGGTGTAACAAATGCAAGGACAAGCTGGCTAGTGATATGGTTTGCAATGACATGGACTTTATGGTTAGTGAGAAATGATGCAGTTTTCAATGATAAGCAAGCTAACGTGGAGGATGGATTGGAATTAGTTCGGAGGAGATCTTATTTGTGGATTACTGGGAACAAAAATGATTGGAATTTTTCATTTATTGATTGGTGCCAAGATCCAAATAGGTGCTTGATATTGTCAAAATTAAAGAGAAAATGAATGTAAATGGGTAAGACTAGCCCTTGTACTCTAAAAACAAAAATGTTTTTTTTTTTTGGTTATTCAAAAAAAGAAAAGTTTAGGACAAGGTCCTAACTAATTAACAAGTTTGACATTATTAATTTGTCCTTTATAAATGAAGCTTGATTATGACTCACTAATTTATCCATTACCTCACTCAGCCTCTAAGTCAAAAGTTTAGGAAATCACTTTGTATATAGCATTGCAACAAGATATAGGTTTGTAGTCACTAGTTGAATTAGGACAATTAGTTGTTGGCACCAGAGTGACATTAGTAGCATTAATTTGACCCAGATCTTTCTTTCTCAAAGAAATTTAGCATTGCTTTGATTATATCTTCTTTAACAATAGGCCAAGCTAATTTATAAAAACATGCAATAAACCCATTAGGTCCAGGAGACTTACCATTGGGAATTGATATCATAGCCACTTCCACATCTTTCTCAAAGAAGGCCTGTGTAATGAGTCTACCTCTTCCATAGTCAACATTCTACCTCTTTGGATAACTAAGAAATCAAAACTCTAAACATCCTCTTTACCCTTATCACTCAGTCTTTGGTAGTACAACAAAAACTCCTACTCAGTTAACTTAGGTTGCACCAGTTATAAGCCTTTAGAGTCTAGGACTAAGCAAATGATACCCCCATGCTATCATTCTTTTATTTTAACATGGAAAAAAGCACAGTTAGTATCCATCTCTTTCAACCATTTACATTTTGGACATTGAGTTGCAAGAGATAAATCGACATCAATCAGCCTATGATAATTCTACTTCACTGCCTTCTTAGTACATAATCAAGTTTTCATCAAAAGGGCTTACGACCATTTATATTTGAATCGTTTCCAATTTTATTCTTACATCACTAATCTTTTCTTATAAGTCACTACAATGTTGCTTGTGCAAACCTTCAATTTTTACTTAACTTGCTTTAGCTTTTGGACCACTATAAACATAGGGCACCCCTTAACTTGAGATTACCAAGCTTCTCGAACTATTAACATAAAGTGCTTATGCTTAGCCCACAGGTTACAAAACCAAAAAGGTTTTGGCTTCCCATTAGTAGGAGTACCAATTTTAACCAAGCACAGAAAGTTATAAGAATTGCAAGGGTTAGGAAAATAAGCTATAGAGTTAGGGTACAGACAAATCCAGATAGTGTTTACAAGAGCCCTATCAAGTTTGCACCATAATCTATCTTCCCCAACCTGATGATTACACCATGTATAAAAAGCATCTGAGAAGCATAAATCAAAAACATCCTTAACAATGGTGATATCATGCATTTCAAAAATATCTCCTAAACATAATCCACAACTATTCATTCGTTTATCATGCTTAAGAGTTGTGCTGAAATCTCCTAAAATAGCCATGGTTCACTTATAGGTCCCAAACTAGAAAACTACCTCCACAAGGACTCTCATTCAGCTTTGGTGTTAAAAGCATATACCACAGAGTGTAGGAAAGATAAATTCCCCCTAATAACAAAGACTTTACAATGTTGTAATTGAGCACTCTACATTAACTTAGTGACAATTTATACAGATTTATCCCAAAGAAGCCAAATTCTTCCATTATAAGCATGGTTGTAATTGTCTATCCAACCCTACTAGTTCCTAAACTTTTTCATAATTCTACTACTATTTTCAAATTTTACTCTAGTTCTTAAAGCAACCATTAAACAAATGTATGCTTCAAAAGAAAACTTCTAACATCTACTTCTCTGATAAGGTCATTTAAACCCCTAACACTCATGTTCAAAGCAACAAGACAAATCATTTATCAAAATGAGAGGTACCTATACCACCACTAGCATCCTATATCTCTCATTTACTTCTAGTAGCATTGTCAACAATACCATTCTTCTGATAGTTTTGCATTGCTATAGCAATTTTCCCACAATGACCATCATTCATCTCAAGCTGCACCAAAGTCCCTTTAACCCCAACTTCTAAACTCATTTTGGATAATTACTTGCCATCCATAGAAGCTATTACTTAAGATTCAACAATTAGAGGTGTTGTAATTAGTATTTCTAGAGGTAACTCAAAAAATATTATGTTGTACTAGATCAATAACAAGCACATGTTTTTAATCAGCCATAGCTTTTTAGTCTTTGCCTTGCAATTCATTTCTTCATGTCCAAGATTGTTGCATTTGCCACAACGAATATAAGGACTACTTAGAAATTATTGGCTATTAAAAAAATCCCTTAAGGCCTACCACAAGTACCACTCAAGGTAATTGTTCCATAATTTCAACCTCCACTAAATTTCGAGAGAACACTACCTATTACCTTTTAATAGTCAAGGCATCTATAGCAATTGGAATCCCTGCATAACTAGCTAGCTTACCCAAGGTCTTAGGATTCTATAAACTCAAGTGAAGATCAAAAAATTAGATCCAAATAGGAATCTTACTCATATCCAAATTATTTGAATCAAACTCTGGAGTCCATTGTTTCAAGATTAGAAGATGGTCATTGAAAATCCATCTCTTTTTAAGCATTGCTTGCTATGCATCTTTGTCTACAAATCAAACAAAAACACACCATTATGTAGCACAAAAGCTTTAGGCACTTGAAATTCCTTCCACTGGTTGTTCACAAATTGTGCCATATCCTTCGAACTAGGTTTAGTGCCCAGTACATATCCAACAAAAGCAGTCTCCTAAATCTCTGATCCCTCATTATATTCCTCTTCAGTAATGACCATTACTTCGAAAGGATCTTGGGGCTTTACATGTAATTCCCAACCCGTCCTTAAATGTCTATCCCTTTGAACTAAAAAGGATGAGCTCCTCATTGGCTTGTGCTTAAAGGGGGGGAAAGCATCTTATTTCTCTTCTTGGAGCATATTAAACCATCTAGCTCTCGAAGGTTCAACATTCCTTGTTCTAGAGGCACTAGCACCATTAGAACAAATTGAAACTTATCTTAGCCGACATGTGACTTAGAATCTGTAGTTCACTTATCTTTAACTTTACAACACTTTTCTAGGCTTTGCTCAATAGACCCATAGCTGATAGTAACATCCTGGGCTTTCTCAACATTAGTCTTAGTTGGAATCACTACATCCACACCAGTATCACTCAAGTCAAGCTGCAACTCATCCACCTTCTTAACATCAAAACCTATCTGATCAAAATCTCTAGCTACAAGCTTGGCCACCTCCACTTGTTCCTTCAAAATATCTTCTAGCACACTTTTTCTTGCTTCCTTGTCATTTTTAGAGCCAACATCCTTCTTAAGCATGCCACCCCTAGCTAATACCACCTTATTCTTCTGGCCTTTGTGGCCCATCTTCGAAGTTTTTAGCAAATCCCCTTGTTGGAACACAATGGAAAAGTTTCTTATCATGTGCCAACAGAGCAGTTAACAAAAATGAGCGTTAATCTCTTTTACTTTTTAAAACTTGCTAATAACTTATTTTAAAAGTCGACTTCAAATCTTCTTTGTAACATACTTTTAAATTTGTGAAATAAAAATTTATTTAAAATTAAATTTACTTTTAAACTCTACCAAACAAAACTATAATGGTAAGTGTCCTAAATAATTTTAAAATTTTTAATATTTAGTTGCTATTTGAAATTAATGGAAATATTTATTGCAAGACCAACCATCAAAAAAATTAAAATAAATGGTTAAAAAGGTTATGGGACAAGGTATGTAAGGAAGTTTAATCATAATTGTAGGTTAATGTAAGTTCTAGTTAGATCTCATATTTATGATTACATGACTTGATAAACGGTGTCGATTCCAACTTTATAACAATTATTTTATGGTTATTCTTAGATATTCTGACATTTTTAAAGTTAGGATAACTTAATTTTTGGTTTCGTCGAAGTTAATTTCTTGGCATTTTATTTTGTTTTTTTTTTTTTCTGTTTTTATTTTTTCCTACATACCAAAAGAAAATTTTAATTTCTTGCCATTTTATTTTGTGTCATATTTATTTTTACCAACCAACCAACCAAAAGAAATTGAGTAAACCTACCACAGGAAAATTGGGCTAAATCCTCTTGGAAGCCCTCAAACCTTTTATTTTTAAGGCCTTTAGCCCTTCAAATTATAAGCAAGGTTTTTCTCCCTTTAACTTAGTAAAATATTGGTTTTAGCCCTTTGACCAATTTTTTTATCATGACCGGAGATTTTTCTTGTTTATTGAAAAGGTCCTAAAGTTCTTTAAATATTATAATTAAGTCCAAATATTTATTTGGGGCTCTCATACCAACTAAACCCATCTATACTAATTTTTTTTGATACATCAAAAGGTTAGTTGTTTGGCAAAACAGAAATTTAAACCTTTAACCATGACTCTAAATCAACATTTCCTCATATGTTGTGCCATTCTTCATTTATCATGCTTTCCTCATAGTAGTTATCATCATAATTTTTGTCTTCTAGGATATTTTCTCCAATATTGGTTTCCTCCATGGTCCTAGAGTTCCTAAGGTACACTTTTGTTCACCTTCTTTTCATTAGCATAGCCAAATGCTCTTCCCAAAGAACTGTTGTGGATGGAATTCAAAGGTACATTTCTATCCAGGTTCTTTAATATTTTTATACTAATTAGTGGAGTTCCTAGTTGGATATAAGCTACACGTTGAAGAGAAGGAAGACACATTCTTTGTTTTAAGAAGTTATTTCCTAATATTATGTCTTAATCTAATTTTGGTAATTGTCAAATTTGTTCTATAATAAAAACTTGTTCTTCTAGGTAGATTAGGACATTCCTAGCCATATAGTTGAGTTCTACCACTTGTCCATTTGTTGTTACAAGTCTTTTAGCAAGGACTTTGACCCAATGTTGTTTAGGAAGAAAATTTGGCTGTGCTAACGTATAGGCAACTCATATGTCTAATAAAACATCTATAGTATATGAGTGATATCCAATAAACTCAAATTTAAGTTTTATGTATGAACTATTTAATGAGGTTTTGATGGACTCTATTAGTTCTTTTATTTTTTTTTGTCTTTTCCAGATGACACTCGTAGATTGTTTTTATTTGTGCTTGTTATTCTTTTAGACATTGTTCCATTAACCAAGTCTAATAATGGGAATTTCTTTTTGTTAACCAATTCAACATCTAATCACATTCTTGTACCATATATATTCTTTCTTTTAAAGATAGCTTAACTTTGTTATACCTTAGTATTTTATCGTCTTTATTCTTGTACCATATATATTCTTGTCTTCATCATATGTTGTTGCCTCTAAATTGTTACTAGATTTTGAAGTTGATGTTCTTGGTTTATCTTCTATTAACTTTTTAGTTGGAATTATGAGATCCTTCCATGTTAGTGTCCTAGGGACTAGCCTCTGTGTGTGGATGTTTTACGTTCTTATAATATAGCATTAGTAGGTTCTCTTCTAAACTTAGGGTTTGTAGTATTTAGCAAATTATACATTATCCTATAATGTAATAATAGGTTATGGCTACCCTTTAGCATATTAATATTTTTGGTTTGTATTTTTATAGTTAAACAATTATGTAGATTCCTATATTCTAAACTAATGTGATTATTTAAATATACATCAAACATAATGAGTTCATTGTAAAGATTAGAGTGTATTCCACCTATTAGTGCATTTTTCAGGCGTAGATGTCTATATAGTTTAACACGCATACTAGTATAGGTGTATCTATTCCTCTTATAAAGGACATACTTCTATTTAGATTAATACTAAGTGCACAAAGTTATATTTATCTCTGTATTTTCTAGTTTTCTTAGGATCTAATGATGGAATCATTATGGTTCCTTCTTTAGTTTGTTCCACTTTTGTAACTCCTTCAAAACTATCTATATTAAGACTCTATCTACTTCCTTTATAAACCTCTTTTTTATCCTTTACAGACAATTTCTAGGTTATAGTTTCTCCTTCATAATTCCCCTTTATCTCTGTGCTTTCTTGAGATTCATATAATGTCCCTAGAGAGGTAGCGTCACAGATTGTTCCGATAAAAGTTGCAGAGGTTAATGCTTCTCTCGTCATTTCTATTATTTCCTCTTCTTTTTCAGAATCATCACTAGACTCATTCCATTCATAAATACTCTCATTTTCTAAAATCTCACTTCGTATTTCACGTTCTGATATCGTTGCTACTTCTGAGTTCATTCTTCAAATGCTTTTATTAATTTAAAATTTTTCTGGGGATTCTTCTTTAGGGAATCAAGTGCTATAAGCACTTTTTATTTGCAAATCCAATATGTGCATTCTAACTTCGGTTTTCCAAAAGGACGAGGCGGGTTTCCTTTGTGATTTTTGAAAATTTTAAAGATTTTTCTTTTCTTAAAAGAATCTTCCTTTAGAAAAGTTCTTTTTATATTTCTTTCTTTTGTCTGGTTTTTTGAAAAAATTTTTAAAATTCCTTTTCCTTTTTATTTCACAATCATACTATCCAGGCATTTCTAGTTGATATTATTCATGTTGTCTTCTAATATCTTTTAGAATCTTTCATTGCTAAGGTGTTAGTACAATATTCTCCAAGTATTTTCGTCAGAAATTGTGCTCTTATCCATTGCATGTCTATTATTTTATCAAACTCTTTTAGATATTGTTCATATCTTTCCATTATTAGTTTGTTCCATGGTTCAAGTATTTTTGAAACTAGTCCATTAAAAAGAGAGTTTCTGAGTTCTTAAGATTATAATAGTACCTTGATATTCACAATAGTACTCATCAATCCTAATCATATTGCATATTCTTAATTTTATTAATTTTTCTCTTATGCTTTTTCTGAATAATCTCTTAGTATCTTGGTCTCCACAAAATTCCCTTTTAATTCCCTAGCTATCCAATAGCCTACTTCATGTTTTTCTCGTCTTAATATCAAAATTTGGTCCATCCTTAAATCTTTCCCAAAAATTCTGTGTATTGCCTCTTTGAGTTTCTTTTAAAATGTTTTTAGTTCTATTTTATTTTATTTTATTTTTCAGATTCTTAGTTCTAGACATCATTTCCTTTTACCACCAGGCCACTAGCTTATGCCCAATCTTCTATTAATTTCTTTGGGTTAGTGGTATAGTCGACAACTAAATAGACTCCTGTGGTAAATACAATTTGTAGTTTCTTATCTAGTTTTGGTAGGAATTCATATACAATAGGATTTTTACATTTCCCTTCTCTTGCTTCTCTTTCTAATTTTCTAGGTTCCCTCTATCTCACAAAGGTGAAACTTTGATAATTTCCTTTTCATATTTCTACAATGAATTTTGGTGGCGAAGGTGGTTTTCTAGATTTTTCTTTTTCTTTGTCTTTTTGGGTTTTTAAATATTGTGATACTCCTTAGCAAATTTATCTTATTTTTTATCATTTCATTCTTCATTTTTCTTTAAAGGTCCTTCACCATCATTACCTCTTTCAGATGGTCCACCATCTTTCCTTTTAGTTTTTGATACCTTCAATGGGAAAATCTAATTCTTGTAGTTTCACTTCTCAATATATCATTCTTCTATGTTTCCTGCTTTTTCCCAATTTTCTAGGAATGATCCTTAGTCATACTTTCTCCAATTGGCTTTAAATGTTCATGCGGATGTAATCTGAATTTTTCCCAATCAAACATCCACATTTTTTTTTTTTATTGTACAAGCTTTCTTTTATAGTCATGTTTTTAGATATTCTTCTAGAATTTTTAACAACAATTTACTTTCTTCATTTAAATCTAGTTTCCTGGATATGAGTGAAGGTTTCTAATAATTTCTCTATTTTTTATTCTTTGGCAGATACGTAGTATAATAAATCTACAATGAAATTTAATACTCCTTCAATATAGTTTGAGCTATAATGGCTACCATGCTTAAATTATTTGGACTCAGCGTCTAATTGATAGCATTTTATATTTGTATCCCAAAGTGTCATTTTGATATTCTTACTTAAAGGACCTTTAAGCAATTTTTCCTTCTTAAATTTTTAACAGAAGGGTTGCTTTGGTCAACTTTGTAGTTGAGGGAAATAAACCCATGAAAGTTTTAAGTTCAAGGGTGAAGACCCCAGGAAATTGAGTAATTAATTTGACATTTTTGAAACACATGGGGTCAGCTTAAATTGAATGTAGATTGTTTAAAGGATTTAATTGCACTTTTTCTAATTAATTGTTATAAAAAGGAAAAAGAAAAATGAAAAGTTGATTTCAATTTTATTAATTTTCCAAATAGACTGTTGCACCAGTCAGTTGATAAATATGAAATTAAATTTTATATTTTCATATAAAAATTAATAAAGAGTTTATCTAACATGTGTCATAAGCCTTATTAATTATAATATATAATTTTATACAAATTTTCATACTAAATTTATATATTTTTATAGATTTCA